CAACAGTGCCTTTAGAGGAACGTAGAACGGTCAATTCTGAATGGTACACAACCATTTGTTTGCCGGAAGTCTTCAGTGAAATAAGGAAAACAAACAATCGCCGCCGAATCATTCTTCATCAAGACGATGCTAGCTGTCACACATCTCGTTTAACAACCGACTATTTGAGCACTCAAAAAATCGAATTAATAGGTCATCCGCCGTACAGTCCTGATTTGGCACCAAATGACTTCTTTTTGTTCCCGAATGTCAAGAATAAATTGCGTGGACAACGATTTTCGTCGGCAGAAGAAGTCGTTGATGCGTTCAAAGACCATATTTTGGAGGTGTCTCAAGCGGAATGGAAAAAATGCTTTGACAAGTTCGAACGCAGGCAAAAGTGTATAGATCATAAAGGAGAATATTTTGAAAAACAATAAATGACAAATTATTGTTTTTTTATTATTATTTTTATTATTAGGCTCAAAATATAAATAGTGATCCTCGTATATGTTAACTGAAAAATTTACTTTCAGTGAAGTTTCAGCAAATTTTCAGCAATTTCGCTGAAATGTTCCAAAACGTGGAATAATTCCAGCAAAACTTTTTCACCCTAGGGTATTAAATATTTAAAAAATATTATTCAGGACGATTATAAATATAATATTATTGCAAGACGTCCATACAACATCCTTGGGACATACTTTAGACGTCCAATATATAGCGACATAAATGGGACATATTTCGAACGTCCCGGGACGTCAGATTGTTGCTTTAGAAGTGGTTATAACTCGGAAACGACTTATTTTCGGACCTATGTTTATATAACTTTTTTTTTCTTTTTGGGTCCCGAAGTATTACGGGCGATTTTCCGGATCCTGTATATATGGATATATTTTATATATAATTATATGTAATTATATATAGTTATATATAATTTTATATAATTGTATATAAAACATTTTTTTCCCGGAGATGTTTCATGTTCTTTCCAGTGCATCGTTTCTCATATTGCAATCTCTTTTCTCCAATACTATTTTTTTAAATCAAAGATACATACGAGTATATGTATAGTGATATGGCCTTATAATGACCGATACGATTGGTACGACTAAAAACTAAAGCCGATATTTCAAGAGTTGCACGAGCGCAATACTAAGATTAATTTGAAATAGTGCAATAGTTTCGGGGAGCTCGCTACCACACTATCAATGTTAACGCTACTATCTCTGTTCACGGAGACAAGACAGCGTTAGCGAATACAAGCTCTGTGAATAGCAATAGTGTAGTGTTGGCCCTAACCATACCGCATACGGCAAAATGGAGTAAGAGCAAGATTCTTTAGATTCTACTAGATTTTTTCATTTTAAGCAAAAACACGTTAATCTAATTTTATTGATTTTTTAGCTAAACTGTATAATTATAAAATATTGGACAACCATAACTTTATAATTTTTTGCTTATTGACATCCGTTGGACTCAATTTTAACATATAACTTTCCTGCAACCCTTCATCACGCAATTCCATTTCCACATAATCCATTTTAAAAGCTAAGTGTAATGAATACTATTATGATAATTAATTTCGAAGTATCAGCCAACAATATTCACTACACTATCGCTATTCATAGAGCACACGAACGCTACGCTATCAATACACTACCTTTTTAGTGATAGCTTTTGTAGCGCAAAGTCATGACGTCAAACGCTACCAACAGTGACGTCACGATAGTGTTTCACAGTGCTACCAGTTAACTCCCCGAACGTATACTTAAGGTGCGTTCGGGGAGACGCTATTAGCGCTATTTCTGTCATTCTGTCCTTGTTTTACTTGTCTAATAAACAACAAAGATAGAATAACAGAAGTATAAGCGCTAATAGCGACTCCCCGAATGCACCATTAGACAACATAAGTAATATTATTTGCAATACTAAAATTATGCAAATACGTTTCATATTTTGCTGTTATTCGATGTTTTTAATTCGTTTGAATAGATAAATATATCGTGATTATAATTAAAACAATTTTATTAAAATTATGCTCTACGTACGTTATTATTTCTGTAGACATTTTTACGTAAAAAATTGTTTATTATATGCTTCCGATGCCTTACGCTTCTATCATTACGCGTAAAACAGATAAATATGAAATAGACGTTTTTAAAATGCTCATGTAAGTTCCCAAATCTACTACAACGAAGTGTCCAGCTTGCAGCTTAATCGGAAACTGAGTCCACATCATGATAAATATTATGTTTTTTGTTACTTTTACAGGAAGATCATACCAAAAGCTATGGTAAACAGACTGTGCGACTTCTTCCATCTGCGTCTTTAAATAATCTCCGACAACACTATATAGCGTTAATTGCACCAAAAAGGCGCTAAGTACCAAGAAACTTTTTGACATCATACCATAATCGCTGGTTGTTAAGGCAATGATAAATTGGAATCCTGCAAAAATACACGTAATTAATGTAAATTTTATAACATTTCATATTTTTTTTTTATTAATTCATGAGCATGTCAAATTGATGCATATTTACCTACTATAATTATAAGCATACTGCTGATAAAGAGTTGTACCATCAAAACGAATCTAATTATCTCAACAAGCTTTCTGGTCATTCTTATCAAATGATCATGTCTCAAAATCAGTGTGTTAAAACGTTCGTAGACTTTCGGACTTGTTACGTCAAAGTTAATAAAATTTGCTTTTAAAATTTCCAGTTGACCGCACACGTGTAATACAATATGAAGAAATACAGAATCACTACCTGTAAACATTATAATTAAGAATATGTCGTAAGAATGTACAACTATCAACTATAATAGGTATGTTAAGATTTTAGAAGTATTTATGTGAAAACTATATTTAATATTTACAAAATTCAGTATTTTATTAAAATGGATATAGAAATTTATTTCATATGCATTTAACAAATGAACAAAGTTAGATGATTAAAAATGGTTTATTGTATAATCAGGAATGTAAAAAATAATTATATGTCAGAAAAAACTCGATCCATATAAAGCCATAATTAATAATTCAGAATATCATTATAGTATATCTAACCCTTTTCGTAACTAATAAAATATTTTTGATTATTATACTTCTCTGTCTTCATAAAATTAATATTATTTAGATATAAATATAACATATATCCCCAAGGTAAAGATAAATACAATTTATAATAAAAAAATTAATTTTTTGTTTTTTACTCCTGATATACAGGTAACTAAATAGATGATTAATATTAATTGTTTACATATGTAAACCTCTATACACCGCGTCAAGGTTGTGATCATTGTAAAGCTTTTAATACTTTGATTTTTTATTTGATTATGTTTTTCATTTTGCTTTTTGATTAAATATTTTATTTTTAAATTTTTGGATATATTAAATATTACGATCATAACTTTTAAACGTTTTCTGATAGTGATTGCTCAGAATTCAACAGTTAGGGTTATCATAGTAGTATACCTAAACTAATAATTATGGTTTTATAGATCACGTTTTTTTCTTATCTAATAATTATTTTTTATATTTTTAATAATAATAAAATACAAAAAAAAGTTATTTTTTGAAAATCCTGAGGGCCCAAAAAGAACGGCCTTACTGATTCCTCCTTTGCATTTAAAATGTAATTACATGGATTACAAAGTTTATTAATAAATATTTATTAAACATTTCGAACGCATTTAAATTATATATATATATATATATA